GAAGCCAATGCCAAAGTGACTAAAATTGCAGTTCACCCCTCATCCACTAGGGGCTGACTCCAGAGGGAGCAAGTTTCTATTGACTCTCACATTAAAAATGTCCACTTCACAACAGAAATAAACATGGTTAGAGCCCTGTTCTAAACCTTAGGGGGGTAATTAAGGTTTAAAATACTAATTATTAGGAATGTGTCATTTTGATTGACAGGTAGCAGATGAGCTGTCGGCGCTAGCAGCTTGCCCTCCTGATTACTCCAGGGAAGGCTTCAGCCGTGGCCTAAATTTGTTACAGCCTAGAAGGCAGAGGGACGCAGGGTCGCTCAGCCACGGTTTTCTGGCTAAAAGTGCCTGCCAATCTCTGCTAGCTCCATGTTAGCTCAGTTAGCTTGTAGCTACATCAGTTTGATGGATGTCAAACATCCCTCCTACCCTCACAGCCCTACTCTCAGTTGTATTTTTGTATTTTCCGGGAGTGTCGAGATGTGTGGTGTGGTCAAGATGACAGCTGGGCTTCTGTTCAGCTCTCCAGAAATCTACAGGTGATGGCGTGGAGGGTCCATCCATCTTATATGTGGTTACAAACAGTAATTAAGTTAAGGGCTAATAATTTTTTTTCAGTTTTCTGTTTAAATGTTTCTCCTATTAATAAATACAATTTAATCTTAAAACTGCATTTTGTATTTACTATGAATATCACAGCTGGAATGAAGATCTAGAAGACAACAACAAACTGGCAACTGAAAAGGAGAACAGAGAGGTTAAATACAAGTGAACACAGCTGGAATGAATCTAGTTAACGAAGGACAGGAAGTGACACAGAGGAGAGAGGAGGATGTCAAAGTAAAACAGGAAACAAAGAGCTGGGCTCCTGGCAGGGTGTGACAGAACCCTCCCCTTCAACGTCCAGCCCCCAACAGAACAGGGAGAGCAGCACGGCGGGCGTAGAAGTCCCAAATAAGAGAGGAATCCAAGACATCATGGGCTGCCACCCACTGGCACTCCTCAGGGCCATAACCCTCCCAGTCCACCAAAAACTGGTGCCCACAGCCGCGCTGCTGGACATCCAACAGGTGGCGCACGGTATAGATAAGCTGACCACCAATGAACCGGGAGGGGGGGGGGGGGGGGGGGGGGAGGCGGTACCAGCAGGAACCAAGGGACTCACAGGAGCAGGCTTGAGCCTACTGACATGAAAAGCAGGGTGACAACGCATGGACCTGGGGAGTCGGAGCCTCACAGTCACAGGTTTAATAACCTTGGACACAGGAAAAGGGCCAACAAACCTAGGGGCGAGCTTACATGAGTTCAGACGCAGGGGAAGGTCTCACGTCGACAGCCAGACTCTCTGACCCTCCCTGTAGACCGGCGCAGGAGAACGTCGATAGTCCGCAGCGTCCTTATGTTGCCTCGACCTCAGAAGCAGGGTGCGACGAGCTCTGGCCCAGGTGGTGCAGCATCTGCGAATAAGAGCCAGGGCTGAGGGCACTTGGACATCCTGCTCCTGAGAAGGGAACAGGGGAGGCTGGTAGCCAAAAGGGGACAAACCTGTGGAGGAGCTGGGAAGCGTGTTGTGAGCGTACTCCACCCAGATCAGTTGAGAGCTCCAAGTGGCAGGCCGGCCTGCAGCCAGAATGCGTAAGACCATCTCCAATACTTGGTTAATCCGCTCCGACTGCCCATTGGACTGGGGGTGGTATCTGGAAGACAAGCTCACGGTGGCACCCAGCAGGGAGCAGAAAGCCTTCGAGAACCGTGAGACAAATTGCGGACCTCGGTCGGACACTATGTCGGTGGGGAACCCATGTATCCTGAACACCTGCGAGAGCATGACCTCGGCTGTCTCCTTGGCAGAGGGTACTTTGGGTAATGGGATGAAGTGAGCCATCTTGGAGAATCTGTCCACCACTGTGAGTACTACAGTGTTACTTCTGGACACTGGTAACCCGGTAACTAAGTCCAACGAGATGTGGGACCAGGGACGATGCGGGACAGGGAGTGGCTGAAGCAGACCGGCAGAGGGCTTGGAAGACAACTTGTATCTGGAGCAAACTGAGCAAGCAGCCACGTATTCACTGACCTCCTTCTCCATAGCAGGCCACCAGAAACGTTGCTTAACCAGGAAGAGAGTTCTTCGTACCCCAGGATGGCAAGCAAAACCAGAGGCATGAGCCCAGTGGATAACCTCTGAGCGGTGGTCAGGGGGAACAAAAAGCAGCCCTTGAGGACAACCGACTGGGGTTTGGGTCCTGGTGATGGCCTGTCTCACCTTCTCCTCTACTCCCCAGGTTATGGCCCCAACAACACAGGAAGGAGGAAGGACACTAGCAGGTGGTTCTGGAGCCGATGAGGTAGGTTCGTCCAAGCGGGAGAGGGCGTCTGGCTTCTGGTTCTTGGACCCTGGACAATAGGAAACAGTAAAGTTAAAACGTGTCAATAACAGAGCCATCTGGCTTGGCGTGGGTTGAGCCTCTTGGCACTCCTAAGGTATTTGAGGTTCTTGTGGTCCGTCCAAACCAAAAAAGGCTGCTAGGAGCCCTCAAACCTATGTTGCCCCTCCTCCAGTGCCATCTTGATGGCGAGTAGCTCTCAGTCTCCCATGTCGTAATTCGTCTCCGCAGGTGACAGCTTGTGGGATAAGTAGGCACAGGGATGGATGCGGCCATTCTTGGCTGGCCGCTGCGAGAGGACTGCGCCAACCGCCGTGGCTGAAGCATCCACCTCCACCACGAACTGAAGAGTGGGATCTGGCAAGATGAGGATAGGTGCAGAAACAAAACAGTCTTTCAACCTACGAAAGGCTGCCTCTGCTTGAGGAGACCAGACAAACCTGGAAGCCGGTGAGGTCAGGGAATGCAGAGGGGCTGCAATGGTGCTGAAGCCACAAATGAACTTCTTGTAAAAGTTGGCAAAGCCAAGGAACTGCTGAACCTCCCTCCTGGAGGTGGGTACTGACCAAGCTTTAACAGCTGCCACCTTAGCGGGGTCCATCTGGGCTCTGACCTACCCCATCAAAGGACCAAGGAAAGACACAGAAGAGACATGAAACTCACACTTTTCAGCCTTAACAAGCTGGTTGTGGAGGAGACGATGGAGTACCTGGCGAACATGCACTCTCTGGGTCTGCTCATCAGGAGAAAACACAAGGATATAATCCAAGTAAACAAATACAAACACATTCAGCATGCCACGAAGCACATCATTAGGGCCTGAAACACAGAGGGTGCATTAACAAGACCAAAAGGCTTGACTGAATATTCATATTGTTCAGTAGGTGTACTGAAGGCAGTCTTCCACTCATCCCCCTCCTGTATCATAACCAGATGGTAAGCATTTCACAGATCAAGTTTAGTGAAAATCTTAGCACCCTGTAACATCTCAAATGCAGTAGACATCAACGGGAGGGGGTACCTGTTCTTGACTGTAATGTCGTTGAGTCCTCGATAGTCTATGCAGGGCGCAGGGTCTTGTCTTTCTTTGTTACAAAGAACCCCGCTCCTGCAGGAGAGGATGATGAACGGATGAGGCCAGCCTTAAGTACAGAGTCCACATAGTCTTTCATGGCCTGGTGTTCGGGGCTGGAGATAGAATAGAGATGACCCCTGGGTGGTGTCGACCCTGGTAGCAGGTCGATAGAGCAATCATAAGGACGATGTGGAGGAAATGAAGTGGCCCTGGACTTGCTAAAAATTTCCTTGAGTTTGTGATAACAGTCTGGGACAGAAGACAAGCAAGGATAATCCGTGTCCAAAATAGCAGCCGTGGCTGACTGACCTGATGTGTTCTCCAAACAGCGACAAGTCCAGGAGCTAATGGAGCCTGTAGCCCAGTCGATGACCGGACCATGTTTCTCCAGCCATGGGAACCCCAATATCACCGGGTGTAGAGGGAAGGAGGAGACCAGGAAAACGATGGACTCAGTGTACTGGTCTGGGAAGGTAAGCAGCGCCGGAGGAGTCTGTCATGATACCGAGCACAAGAGGCGACCATCCACAGCAGTAGCCTGAAGGGGCTTCTCGAGAGTCTGTAACTGAAGCTTCAGTTGTGCTGCAAGGGATGTATCCATCAAGTTGGCATCCGGAATCCAGAATCGTTTAAAACAGTTTGTCTAACAGTCTTGTCTGAACTGGTTAAGGTAACCACAGGATTCACTCGTTTTACTGACAAAAAGTGATTTGACTCACAATAGTCTTCTGGGTCTGGAGTGTTCTCCTGTTGACAGGACAGTTCCCCACAAGGTGACCAGCCTGGCCACAGTACATGCACAGGCCCAGCCTCCACTGTTGCTGTCATTCTTCTGGCAAGAGACGGGTTCGGCTGAGTTCCATGGGTTTGTCTGTCTTGGTGGATGACGTGGGACAGTGTGTTGGCGTGAAGGTTGAGACAGGCGGCTGACGGCCAAAACCGACGATCCCAGGTTCAGTACTCCAACCCACCGGCCGATTGATGGAGCCGCCCCACTCTCTCCTCCTGTCATCTCTTGTCTAACTTAATGACCAGAGCAATGAGGTCGTCTAGATCTGTAGGGAGATCAAGTAGAGCCAAACAGTCCTTTAAATCATTATTTAGTCCTTCCAAAAAGGCATCACGTAGGGCTGGCTGGTTCCAGAAAGGGTCCGGAACTTGATGGCATAATCAGAGGCCCTTCTCCTTCCCTGCTGTAATCTGCAAAGAGCCTGGGCGGTCTCACGACCGGGTCGAGTATGATGAAATGGCTCCTGGCAGGGTGTGACACAGAGCGACAAATAATAAATGTATTTTGCATGAAAAGAAACGTTTGCATATCTGAGAGTCAAGATGGCCTTTTAGGAAAATGAAATTTTCCCGAAAAAATAACATAAAATGGATAATGAATAAGAAAGAGTTGAGTTGTACTTTAAAAAAATGCTCCAAACTCTAAATGTAGTCATTTTAAACACCAGAAGGTGCTGAAGCTGAATGTTCATGAGAAAATCTTTTGATTTGTATTGAATTGTTGGAATTGTGTCGTTTGTCTGACTCAGGTGGTCCAGGTCCCCGTGGAGGCCTGTGAGCAGCATGCTACGTGTGCCGAGTGCCTCAGCTCTGGTGACCCCCACTGTGGCTGGTGTGTCCTGTACAACATGTGAGTCTGTTGCCTTCATATTCTGGTACACACATCAAAGTAGACTAAAACCTACTAAAAAAAAGTAGATTAAAACCATTACATCACTGTTTACCAAACCGTGGACAGAAAGCTGAGTCAGTTTAAGCTTCTCTGATCTGAGCAGTAATATAACTGATGTTGTTCTTCCTGGAGCTGAACCGTTATCAACATTTGGAGGGACAGTAAAAAAAAAAAAAAAAACTGTAAGTGGTTGCAGGACTTTGTGATCCCCTCTAAGTAGCACCCTTTGGATAACAGAAGCTGCATGACCACCAGATTTTATTGTCTGCTGAGCGAGGGGATGACGGGTGTTAATGGAAAAGGGAGGGATTAGCCTTGCAGTCACTGCGAGCGTAGCTGCACCTCCACACACCCGCAGAAACTTTTGGACCTGCTTCATCTCCTCCGTCTTAATTATCTGACCCCTAGGTTAGCTTGAATAACACCACAATATGGAGCAAAGGGATTCAGAATATTAAAAGCCCGTGTTTCTGCACCAGCCACTGTGTTTGAAGCTGACCTCAGCCAGAGAGGTATCCCTGTCTCACCATTTAACGTCTGCAGGTTGGTGAGCAATATCTCAATGCTGATCAGCATTATTTAAATTGCAGCTTTTAATTTGATCGAAGCGGGAGGATAGTGTGCAGAAAAAGGGCAAGTTTTAAAATCTAAATTGCCTCATTAAAGATTTGCTGTATTTTTGGAGAGCACGCTGTCAGAGTCTCATTACACTCTATTTGAATAAACGACGTACACTTATCTGTGAATAGGAGGGCTTCTGTTCCTTCAGTTACCACAAAAGACTCATGATCCCTCACACTGCAGAGCAAAGCTACTTTGTTTTTCTGTCCTATTAAATCCAGATTTGGGTCTTTTTCAGCTCGTTGAATGACTCTCACAGTGTCATACTGACTGCTTTCAGGATCTCACTTTCCCACCCATGGTGAATTGTCCTAAAGCACCTATCTGAGAGTGGGTAGGGGGTGTTTGTGAACATGTAAAAAAGCCTAAAGGGAAAGGGAACAAATGGTTTGATCAGACAAAACACAGCCAATGAAAGAGATGAAAAATAAAAAGGCAAAGAAAGAGATGAAAGGTGCTTTTTTCTCTGGCACTTCACACGATGAGCGGTCAGACGGTGACTGCCTGTATTCCTGTGGCTAGGGTCCACCTCAAGGAGCCACGCCAGCAACAGCTGCCGCTGGGTTTCCAATTCACCTTTATTCTGAGCTGTAATTACAGCAGAGGCCTCTGAGGATAAGCCTCCCCCTCAGCTGCTTCCGAGCTCGCTTTAAATGCCGTCCTTCCTCACTGATAATACTTCACATTCAGAGAACAAGCTAGAATATTCCCAAAGTTTGCTCTTACAGGTCAGCTTTACAGCAGACACTCAGGCTGTTTCCACTTTAGCATGAGTAGATGAAACATCTGCATCAGTGGAGCTAAAAAAGAAAGTATCTTTGCAGCTAATCCCCATCTGTTGAACTGAACAAATTGCTTGAGGTTTGCCCTCCCCAGCAGTGCTTTTACATTTGCTCTTGTCTCCTACAACATCACGCCGAGGTCCTGCTGCGCAGAAAACCCAATCACTTCTTGCTTTTAATTGCTTTTTGGAGATCTAGGATTTGAAGTTTTTTTTTATATATATAACAGTGGCTCTGTAATTTAAAAAAGTCTCATTAACATGCAAAATCCTTTTGTTGGTGGCGAAATTAAAAAGGATTTAGGCTTATTCTTCAACTAACACAGGATTTAGAACAAATTCCTGCAAAATGATAGTCAATATGGTATAATAGTACTACAGAAGCAGTTAGACTCAACAAGTAATTAAAATTGCGCCCACATTTCTAACTTAACACAAATCTCTTCAGTGGCGGACTGGTAATCGGGAGAAACGGGAGATTTCCCGGTGGCCTGGCCGTTAAACAGGCCAGCTCAGTGATTGCCGGTCATGACGTGCGTAATATCTAAATGAGCAATCCGTCATTTAGCTCATCAGGGCATCTGCTGTCCTAATGCTCGCACAAACGGAGCAAACTGGGCACAAAGACACCCCCTCCTCTCACTTTGTCGGGGTCTGGCAAAGCGCAGCAGACACCCACCACCCCAGAGTGGCTACAGCACCACCGCACTTTTGGCTCCAGAGGCAAAATTGACCTAGATGGACCAGGAAAGGTGGAGCAGAAAAGGAGCGATGGAAAGAGAAGAAGGCTGTCATGTTTATGGGGAAGATGTTTTACCCAAGACATGAAAGAATCACACTACGGAGACGGGGTAAGTAAAATTAATATAATAATTTTTATTAAGAAAGGTGAGTAAACTAAGGGTGCTGCTCCAAACGGGAACAGGATGAACCGGAATCTAAAACGAGAAGCAGATAGATATAAGATAAACCCGAAACCAGAGAATCAAGAATATGATTTGTTGTTGGAGGTTATTCTTACGGTTGATGACCAGGACTGGTAAGGATGGACTGGATCTTTGGGACCAGGTGGGAATGGACGAATGGCAGGAGTTCAGATCCAGGACAAGACTGGGAAGCAGGTTGGGAGGCAGACTGTGAGGCGGCTGAGAGGCAGGCTCGAAGGCTGGCAGTGAGGCAGGCTGTGAAGCAGGCTCGAAGGCTGGCAGTGAGGCAGGCTGTGAAGCAGGCTCAAAGGTTGGCAGTGAGGCAGGCTGTGGAGCAGGCTCAAAGGTTGGCAGTGAGGCAGGCTGTGGAGCAGGCTCGAAGGCTGGCAGTGAGGCAGGCTGTGAAGCAGGCTCGAAGGTTGGCAGTGAGGCAAGCTGTGAAGCAGGCTCGAAGGTTGGCAGTGAGACAAGCTGTGAGGCAGGCTCGAAGGTTGGCAGTGAGACAAGCTGTGAGGCAGGCAGGACAAGTGGATGGTGGAGAGCAGAGGCCAGCGTATCTTGAGCGATGTGACCTTGGTAGACAACTCCAGGCGACGGTAGGTTCGTTCTGAAGACAGACGAGCAGGAACTTTCAGGACTCGACAACAAGCAGATCAAGACTGAGACTGGAAGAGGCAGACAAAAGATTAAAGCTGGAGCATGCAGACTAAGACTGTGGCTGGCTAGTAGTTACCCAAGGTGAGAGTATCAACCGGCACTGGAGTTGTGTCACACCACTCCTTAAATATCCCCTGGCCCTCTGATCAGGGAGCTCAGGCACAGCTGGATCTCAGACACTCCCACCTGTGAACACAAACCTGAGACAACTGCAGCATATTGATTGTTATTAGGAATGATCAGGGCAGACCGTGACAAAAGCTCTGGCCACAGATGCATGTTCAGGCTGGCCTTTATGTGGTCATTCTTCTTCTGGCTCTTGGAGAGTACAAACACTTTTTTCCTCCTCTCTTCTCCTCCGTATCTTATCCCAAGGCTCTTTGTCTGTCTTTGGGTGTGCAGCGCTTCTGCATTTTTTATGGAAGCTGGAAATGATTAAAAATGGATCTGGTCAGTTGGTCTCTCAACGCGATTGAATTTTTTTTTTCAACGATGAGAACGGGAGAAGGGGCTCCTGGATGCCCCTCTGGGACAGAGCCAGCTGGGCATATCATGGACTCCTGGAAACAGTGGAACCTGATCTGCCTCTCTCAACGGTCTGTAGAGGATTCTGAAGACGTGGTGTTGGTGTCAGGTTTCTTGCTTTTCGGCCTGAGTGGTTACCTGGCTTACCAGAAATTTAATGAGCTGTCGAGGAATATTGGCTCAGTCCCAGAGCTCAGGGATGGATTACACCATACTGTGAATGCACAAACTCATATAATTGTCGAGATGAGTCGTAAGCTTGGAACTTTGACTGAGATTCAGACTCTGGCACAGAAGGTTGATGCCATCAAGGATAGAGTTGACAGATCAGCACGGATTGGGATAGATTAATTACGCCATTATTGGATTTAGAGGGGATGAGGACCAACGGAACTTTAAGGCAGCGAGGAAATGATCTCTGTCTGGCCCCAAAACAAGTTCTTATCTGAATCTGGTGCTCTTGAGCCTGTGAGGCTGAAGTGAATACTCCCCCTTCAGAAGGAATGTGGAATGCTGCCGTCGCCATGGCAACTCTGTCTCCCTATCCCAGCCTGGGCGGGACTGCGACTGGTGAAGGCTATTGAATCGTTTCCAGGAGTCACTGTGCTTTCTAAACCCAACTACCCCCCCCCCCCCCCCTGTCCAAATGGAGGTGACGAGTGCTGCTCATCATGGCGGCATGCACCGATGTGAGGAGAGTCCCCAACCCTACCTCCCCAGCTAGTGGTCACTTATGTTGTGTGATGTCTGAAGTCTGTTGCATTTCTGTCTGAGGTGTTTTTCTCATCGCAAAGCTGCCCTCCCTGTGGAGGGTAACTCTGAAGTGCCTTTTTTCTTTCACCTGACCCATTCCTCATGTAAACCCTCTGACCTCTATTAAGGTAGCGTGACTCGGGTTGCGAATGACCACAGTCACCAATTCTTGTCATGTTTCTATGCCTGTATGTATGTCTGATCTCAGAATTGTGTGCACTGAAACTCTAATTTCCCTCTGGGATTAATAAAGTATCTGATAGGTAATTTAGATTTATCCCATATTACCTTAAAGGACGACACACACACACACACAGAGAGAGAGAGAGAGAGAGAGAGAGAGAGAGAGAGAGAGAGAGAGAGAGAGAGAGAGAGAGAGAGAGAGAGAGAGAGAGAGAGAGAGAGAGAGAGAGAGAGAGAGAGAGAGAGAGAGAGAGAGAGAGAGAGAGAGAGATTATTTGTAATGTCCATGAATCGTCATGCGAGAGCTGGGCGCAGAAACCCCTCTATGGAGCTAACCAGCCCCCCTCTGTTCCTCTGTCAGAAAAAGCCTCGCAGATCTATGTCACACTGAAAAGGCGAGGCCAGACGCCTTGCTTACAAGGACACTATCCTTCCTTGGTTAAAGAAAACGATTAAATGGAACAGACTTGCACGTGACCGCGGTTTCGACGGCGGTCACGTAACGTCATGGGAGATAACATATTTTATATGTATTACTTTCAATGTAAATACATAACGAGCCTTTTACCTTTTAAATTGCGTCTGTTTATTAAATTAAAAATATAAGCGAATTACTACCCGCTAGCCACCGGAGCTGCAACTACTAAGCAACTAACCAACAATAGATAACTTCTTTGGATCTAAAAAAACATTTTAAATTAGCTGACTTACTTTAAAACTTGAAAATTGTCCCCGAAGTAGCCTGTGGCTTCTGATCCGCCATCTTTTTGAAAATACCGTGGTGTATTGTGGGTAATTTTTGACCAAGGCTAGGCTACAATACACCTCCCGTGTGTCCTTGCTCAGCTAGCTAAACGGCTAACAAACGGAGAACACACGCCTCGGTAGAGCATGAACATCGGAACCGATTGGAACACGTCTTGGCGGCTCCTGATTACGTATCTCCTAGGCAACCGGGGCAGGGCCAAGACATCAATGCAAGGTTCCTTGACATTGAGAAACACCCTTAGCCTTTGTGGAATCATCCATCTTGGCTTGCGACAGGGAAGGCTGTGTGTGCTAGCAGTGCTAACTGTTAGCATTAACAACTCCACCAAACAGCAGAACTTCAGCTGGTGTTGTTTGTAGAGATAAAACATCAGTGTTGCAAAGCAAACAAAGCTAGTGGAAGAGTTTTCTCTAGAGTATGGCTAGAGTAGGCCCTCTTCAAACAATTTCTTTGTCTTGATCTAAGATGATTAATAAAAACTACAAATGATTTGTCATGATTTCTTTCATTTTGTCACAGGTGTTCGAGAAGGGATCGATGTCCTCGTGCGGACGAGAGTTTCCGTTTTGCCACCGACATTGATTGCTGTGTGAAGGTTATTGCTCACCCAGACAGCATCGCTGTATCGGCACACAGCGTCCCAGTGAGTCTGCTTATCATTCCACAGATCATTGCTTTGTCACTCACAGTGCTGTAGTGTCCATGAGCAATCACCTTGAGTAGCCCCGTCTTCTGCGAGGGTAAGCCTGGGAGAGATTAGATCTGTGAGAAGTGAAACGAAACAGGAGGCTGGCCCTCCCTGTGGGGAATCCGCCGTGTTTGTTTTCGTTTATCTGTATTTGGTGAAGGGAGACTAATGTGATGTGTTGCAAATCTGCTGCTGGAGCCAGAGGCTGATCTGCACAGCTTTGCACAAAGATTGGAAAATGTCCGTGCACTAAAACACAACTAAGCACATCTCTCACTATACCATTTATCCAAATGAGTCCTTTAGCTCAATCGCAGAATATGAGGTCATTTACATCCAGGCTGTTATTTTTCCACACCAGCAGCGCAACATCTCAACATCAACATGCTCTTTTCTTTCAGCTGCTGCTGGAGGTGAACAACGTTCCCGACCTTTCTGCTGGAATTACCTGCTCGTTCGGCCAGCAGGCTCAAGCCGAGGGTCATGTCAACGGGAACAGGGTCATGTGTCTTTCACCAGCTGGGAAGGAGGTTCCTCGGATACCAGAAGGACAAGGTGAGTATGGGAATCAGGCCCGAAAACCAGCAAATATGATACATTTTAGAAGTTGATGATAATAGCAGACATTTCTATTTTTATTTAATTTAGTTCCCACATTTTTTATCCAGCTAGAGGGTTGAGTACAGGGAGCCGTAGAAATTCCTACTACTGTATACAGTAATCCGTCATTTGAAGTTTCTGACTGAAGCTTTTCTCACAACAGCAGCAATGTGACCTTCCATGAACTCAGACACAGGTGGCTCTTTACAGGAAAATGATAAAAGTATTAACATTTCTGTCCTCATTCTGAGTTCTTTTTTCCCCTCTTGTCGTTGTGGCTCTCAGATTCGTCTGATTGTGTCCTTCTACCTGTCTTTTGTACCAGTTTTTCTCCCTCTCTCCCCCTTTAACCTGTTATTTTCATTCTTTTCACTCCTAACTAAGCTTTCCGTCTCTGTCGGCTCTCCTCTCAGACTGGGCCAGTGTTGAGCTTCGTCTGAATTCAAACGAGACGGGTCAAACGGTTGCCAGCACAGAGGTGAAGTTCTACAACTGCAGCACGCATAAAATGTGAGTTCAGCACCCCCCGCCCCTCCCACCACCACTGATTTGTTCAATAGATGGAGGAGCACAACTTAATTTAGGGCAATGATGTACTGATGCTCACAACCCCACTTAAGACTGTTCTGTTAGATAACCTCTGAATTCAATTTATCTGTCAGCTTTCATTTAAATCAACATGAAGCATTTGTCGCGGCCTGTTTGTTTCTACTCCAGTTTAAGTGGCAGCTTCTAGGCTCACTGATTACATATTTGACAACGCCTAACAACAGTTTTCTGATTTTTTTTGTGCACATCTGTGTTCATTTAGAGATCATAACTTTTTGCAAATGTCCTACCCAATTACAGGATTTAAAGGTCAGCTTCACTGAAAAAAACATTTGATTTTTATTTCTGATTATAATCAGTCGCTCTGAGTGTTTCATGCAGGCTGAACATGACAATAGTCTCCTACACCTATCTCCTGCATTAGCTTCTGACTCTAGGATTTAAAAAGCCTGACAGATCTACGTCACACTGTCACTTAACATTCATGGACTCACCCATCTTGACTCACGACGGGGAAGGCTTTTGTTGGTTTAGCGTCCAGGAAACAGCAGAGAACGTCTCAGCTAGTAGAAACTGAACTGTTAGCATTAGCAACTCCACCACACAGCAAAACTCCTCCAGGCTTGTGTTAATTGTGGATATAAAACATCAACGTTGCAGAGCAAACAAAGTCAGTGGTAGTTGTGTTGATAGCCAGTCAGGGGTCAGATGTAAAAATATTAGGAAATACAACTCCAAATCCTGTCATCTGCCGCCATTTTCTTCTCCAGCTGAACAATGTCCTCAAACAGGTGCACAACTCTCGTTTCACTTGTCTGAGCAGAACCTCCCTGAACCGTCAACAGGTGGTTCAGAATACTTGTGATCGGCATCTGACCAAGTCCTCCAAACACGCCCACATCAATCCGCTTGTCCTCCAGCTTCACTGGCTGTCAGTCAACTTCAGGGTTCATTTTAAGATCCTGGTTCTGGGGCCTCATTCATCAAGCTTGCTTACGCACAAAACGGGGTCGGAAAACTGCGTAAGCAACTTTCCATGCAAACTTTGGGATTTATGAAAGAAAACTTAGCGGAAAAATGTACGCAACTTTAAGTTGACTAAGGACCTGGCTTACGCACATTTTGGACATGGAGAGCACCTGCAGTGCTGCTGCTGAGAAGGATAAAATTATGAAATCCTGCAGCATTATCACTTGTACTGCTCCGTTTTCACATGGAACAAGACCCCCCCCCCCCCCACCCCCCACCGCCACACGCACACACACACGCGCACACGCACATGCGCGCACACTCACACAGCCTGAAGCACAGAATACGGAAAGCAGAATATCAGCAGGGGGACAGATTGAGACAGAATGTCATGCGTCTGTGACAGTGTGTGCGTCCTGTCACTGTGACTCGATTGATCATGCGCCCTGGCTACTTGGACGAGGGAGATCTCCGTTTGGGTGACTGGTTAGCACATGTGACTTTCACCAGGGAGTCTGGGGATTGAATCCCGATTGGATCATTTTTTTATATCCGCCACAGATCTCTGAAGAACTCACAACATTGACGGCTTCAGCAACGCTGCGCCACTCTGTGGATTTTCTCTTATTTGTTTTGCAAAAGCACTGCCTTTCATTTCTCCACCTCACCCACAGGTACCTCAACTTCTGCTTGTGTGAAATTGCGCTTCCTTGAACTGCCTTTATCTGCGGTCGCCATGTCATTGGCAGAGCGCTGAGACAGCCGGCTTATGTATATGCATGAGATCCACAAGGCACTTTGCATTGACTATTTATGGCAGTAAGTGGGTGTGGTGAGGGCCGGATGTGACTAAAAAGCAGATGAGAACATTTCTAGATAGTTTCTGATTCATGAAGCGGAGATTGCGTGCAACTGTGCGTACTCCATGTTTGATTGATCACAAACCTTGTAGCGATGCATATAGATTTATATCTATATTTCAAATGTGATGTAGATTTAGCTTGCTTATGATCTTATATTAATTAATTGGGACACCACCCAGTTTTGCCTGTGTGAACTGGGGCACTGGATTTAATATTTATATCTTCTCAATGTAATCAGTCTCAAAGTTAACACCACATTTTAATCTGAAAGCTGAATTCTTGTCAGAATGCGCCGGCTATTCTCAAGATCGCTAGGCAATAATCAGGCATGATTTAAGTTTTGTGAATTTATTACGAACATCAGATGTGACACTTGATAAAGATAACCAAACACAGCTTATTGTTTCATGCATGAGAATAAGTAAGTGGATAAACACAAGGCTTTATGGCAGTGCCATGACATAACTAGTCTGTAATAAAAGTGGAACTTTGGTGACACATAGGATTATTAGGAATAGCTTCTGTAAGGAGAACAAGTGAGTGTGTGTGTGTGTGTGTGTGTGTGTGTGTGTGTGTGTGTGTGTGTGTGTGTGTGCGCGCGCGTTCCTATGGGTATAGGAATACAGGAGGGTGTGTGTTTGTGTGTGTGTGAGTGTGGTCAGGGGGCTCGTTATGGCAGAAGAAGAAAGGGGATCTTGAAGGCTAACGTGAATCTGGGATCGAAATAAAAACACGCCATAAAGAAATGGAACAATCTGAATTCACTAATCGGGCTTAGCACAAAAGTCAGCCAGATGAGATGCTTCACAGACCTTTTCCCGTCGCGTAAAAAGGTGTCCTGTGGGCTGATTCAGCCAGTCCAGAAGCTTGAATGAGGCTTTCAGGAGCTGTAGGACTTTTTGGCACCTCAGCTTAGGCCAACGGTGTCTGTGGTTCAGGAGAATCTCATTCCCCGGGTGTGGCTGGACTTTAGGTTCCTTCACTTCAGCGGCCTCGAAACGTGGAATTCAGATCATGGGCCCTAAATTATTCCAAGCGGAGGCGAATCATCAAACTGTTCCAAATTGCTCTTGCTCTTAATATGAAAACTCGACGAAAATGCAGACTTCCGGTTTCACGTAGGAAGTCCAAACAAAACAATGGAGTTGCTTCTAAGTTTTTACCGTAACTTTTGAGAGCTAAGTACTGTAAAGTGCCGGGTTCTGCTGGGCCAGATGGAAAACAGCCCGCAGGGGTGTGCTTAAGGCGTCCTTTGTTCCTTTTTCACAAGGTTTGGATGGATGCTTAAATAACCTTTTGGGCACGCCCACCTGTATCTCACTCAGAAACCACTGGAGGGCAATGTGGCTCTTCCAAATAAACCTTCTCCAAGATGGAAAGTCCATGATCACAATTTAACACAGTTATTCACATAAAGCCTCAAAAGTATTACTTTAGCATCAAAGTATTACTTTAAACAGGAAAGAATAAAATTCATGTCTTAAAACTGAACAGTTTTACCATTAGCATGAATTTTAACGGGAGAAACACCAAATGACAGAGGTTTAACATAAAAGAAAACACAAAACAAACAGTTTAGGTCTGTGGCTGATAAGATTTTAACTTAGAGCACCTTGATTTCTATTTCAAGGGTGAACAACCTAAACACCTTCTTTGATTATAGATAAACAGAAAAATACCAGGGTTTTGTTAAAGGCTAGATCCTGGAATCTTCCAGAATGACCCTTGAGAAGTTTTACAAGCACCCGGACTTGGGGGAGAGTCCGTTTTTGGCAGGTTGAAGTAAGACAGACCAAGTCCTGATAATGTCCGGCTTAACAAGTCACTTGGTAAAATTTACGTTCCTGGGAGAAAAATGTAGGAGTTAACCAGAATGCTCAACTGCGGGCCAGTTTCAAATTCCCCATTTTATTTTCTTCTGCTAAATGTGAGAGGAAAAACTTTGTGAAAATAGTTATGTTCTCCTTCGTGTGAATGCAAACAGTTAATCTGAGGATAAAAATGTGGATTTCCGCTACAACCTACTTGGCGTAAGTACATTTTGTTTTGCTGAGCTTAAGTACGGGTTTAGTAAGGATTCTACGCAATGTTTGATAAATGAGACCCCTGGTCTTTAGTGCCTTACATGGACAAGCACCATCATACATTGGTGATCTTCTCAGTCCCTACACCCCCAGCAGGTCCCTGAGGTCCAGTGACCAAAGCCTACTGGTTATGCAGCGCCCCAGGCTAAAGACCAAAGGTGACAGATCATTTGCTGCTGTGGCCCGCAGACTCTGGACCTCTCTCCTCCTGAACCTGAGATCAGTGGACTCCTTTAAAAAGCAGCTGAAAACCCACTTGTTCAGGCTTTGGTAGGACCTTCATCACCACCCTCTCCTTATTCTGCTCTTATTCCGCTTTTCCTGGGATCCATGATTTCCCTCTTTCCTATTAATTTTTCTCCCTCCCATCGTCTACATTTTAAATCACAATTTTTTATTTTTTGTCATTTAAAACTTATTTTTTAATCATTTAAAAAAATATTTTTTCCTATTTTATTTATTTTTTTGTTCTTGTGAAGTGCCTAGTAATTTTTATCTTGAGAGGCGCTATAATGTTCTTTTATTCCCCAGAGAACGACCACTGCAAATATATTATAAATATGAGTAAAGTTGACCATGGGAAATTATATTTCTAAAATGTAAAATGTTATTTTGAGAAATTCTAAAACTTTTGTGAATAGCAAGAAAATATTTCTAATTCTCATTTTTTTTAGCACATATTTGAACTTCACTCCATTTCTGGCCTTGAGGCAGAACTGGTGATAATGAATTTTTACGCTTTTAAAGAAATTATAATAAAATATAAAAATTAAATGTTTCAGAAAAATGTAATTTCTTAGCTTTTTAAATTAAAATCAGTTTTAACAGACACATACATCTCTTTACACTAAATGGCTACAAACATCTTCATAATGATTTGTGCTTTGACTTTAAATGTTTGTGCCAAAAACTTGTAGCTTTGATTTTCTTTTTGGAATTTAAAAATTAGGAAATTTCCTTGAAGATGAATAAAAATGGCTTCTGCTTAAAGAGTCAGACATCAGAAAAGGGTTATTTTAACACCACTCACCAATTTATCTTACCG